TGGCGTGTGAGAACGTCGGATTCTCTTGCTGCGCGAGCAAAATTTTGACACGCTGCTCCTCTTGTTTGGACGTCATTTTGAAAACTGGAGAGCAAACGGCGAAAACTCATCATAACAACCATTGCATAAACACTCAACTTCCAAATGCAGCATTTCATGTTTGTTTAATACATTTTTAACAGAAATACTCCAATTTGAAGTTGACCAATTTTTGCACGTTCCAGACTTTATTGAGGTCTTATACGAAAATGTTGATTCTGCAAAACTGATTTGCTTGTTGCTACAGTGTCATTTCAATTGATCGTAATAAAATAGCATGATTGCGTGTGATATTTTGCCGATTGCGCTCATTCCATGTTGCGTTTATTTACTTTAAATTAAAAAAAGAAAAACTGTATTTCACCTTGGCAACTACATCAGGAGCAGCGTTATTTAAAAATAAAAAATAAACAAAACGCTACTGTAGCATCAGTACTCCTGGCCACTAATATATTATAAATATAAAATACCTTTCAGAAATCAAAGATCTTATGGATAATGCTACCACATGAGCAGAGTTTATACGAAAATGTTAATGGCAACATAAAACTGTCACAATCGTACAGCCAAGCGTGCAGCCTGTATATGATACAGATATCGACCGTTTTAACGATAATGATCCCGTGCAGTAACATAAATAAAGCATGAGCAACAAGGACACCTCCGAACTGAATGCAATCGTATAAAAACTTGCGCAAATCCCAGAAAATGTGAAGAGAAGGACCTTCATTCAATTATGTATTGCTTGCCACCCATCGTCGTCCCACACTACTGCTGGCAGGTTGGTATATCAGATACCGGTCACACTATAATGCTAAGCACATTGTCGTAGATCTTTTCAACGGGCACCTTGAAACTAGTTAGCAACCACTTGACAAAGAGTTCCAATAGTAAACAATGTGCATGCACACGGTTCCATCGGGATTTACAGACGGAATCTTTCAAGATTGTCATCCGATTCTGGCATCGCCGTTGGTGGTAAAACGCATAATTCATCAGTCTTGCAGCCGTCGTCAAACCTTCGGCTTCCTCGGTAGGAGTACGGTGTCTACCTACAAATACGGCACCACAGTTTTTTTTTTAATTGAATTGCAAATCGGCAAATAATTGAGTTTAATCGTTACAAGTTCAAGCCCCAATTAACCTTCGTCGAGGACGCCATCATTTAGTCGACTCATGACACAGATTGTCTGTTCGGAACGAGGGGATCAATCGCAAGTCGCTACACAAATGACACGACTTCCTTTCCGGTCAAATTAATGTTATGATTAGAAGCATATCCCAGGACAGAGGGGGCCGACGAAAACAACTCTAGGTACGATCCATTTCAATTGAAGCGATCGGCGCGAATGACACTGCGCAAACATGGGGCTATTAAAAACATGCAAATTGATAGTTGTCACGAGCCGTTTATGGGGGGCCGTGGCCAAATTGGGCGGCTGGTATGTCTGGTGTACGACGGATTTCCCAATGCCACACGGAATCATTTGAGATTTGATACAAGAGATTAGAATTTCTTGCTAGATCACGATCAGGGTATAGTTTAAATTGGTTGTCAATAACAGCTAAATTTGGATGATTTGATGTGTGTAAACAAGTTCTAGTTTACATGCAATACATTAGGTCCTAAGTAACATTGATCGATTCTCTTCATCGACTTTCTCTTTCGTTAGTACTTTGGCTATAAAAACGATTCCTGTAGTGATTGGCCTATTATACGCTAGATAATAGTTTCTTTCAACGAACTGTATGTTGAAAATAGCTGGAAATGTCTTTCACTGGCCGTGGAGATGCAAAGAGAAAACAGACGAAGAGAATTTGTCAATGTTACTTAGGATCTAATCCATTCTTGCCAAAACTATCCTCGATTGGAACGGAATTCGAAGTTAGCACCACTATAAAGAATTAACACTCCTAATACGGTGCGTAAAAATTTTTACGCCGACTACGAAGCCTCAAAAAAACGTGTAACGGCAAGTTTGCAATGACATATATCTCATTGCAAACTTGCAGCTATAGCTTAGCCATTTATAGATGAATTTCAAAAATTGTAGTATGTCTAAAATTTCTAGAGTCTATAGATTATTTTTATGGGAAACAGATTGAAAATAGGGTCGTCTACATTTTTTTTAAAGCGAAAAGAGTCGTTATACGTTTTTTAAAAGTTTGTTTATGGGTTTTGCAAATGGCTTAGGATCAATGATTTAAACTAATGGGCACAAATGTTCATAATTAGCCAGTCATGGTTTTAATATATGGATCCTAGAGACAAAGGAACGATCCTCTGGAAGATCCGGAACTACCGTAAAAGTGGTCAATCCACGAAACTGATCCTACAGCTCCGTGGTTTTTTTTTAAACATTTTGAATTGTGACATATGAATGAATTTGGGGACGTGACATAAACATGGACGCGGATGGTCATGGAATCGTTCTCCGGAACACCCGAAACATCCGTAAAAGTGATAAATCCATGAAACTGTTCCTATATCACAGCGGTTTTTTTTTTTCGAAAACACTTGGAACTGAGATGATAGAGAGAATTTGGGGTCGTGACATAAACATGGATCCGGTTGGCCATGAGACCGGTCCTCCTGAAGATCCAGATCATCCGTTAAAGTGGTCAATTCATGAAACTAATCCTAAAGCTGCGCATTTTTTGAAAAATTCTAGGAACTGTGATAATAGAATGATTTTGGGGTCGTAACATAAACATGGAACATCCGTAAAAGAAGACACTCCACGAAACTGATCCTAGAGCTCTGTGTTTTTTAAAACATTAAGAACTGTGATATAAGATAGAATTTGGGGTCGTGACATAAACATGGATTCAGATGGCCATCGGACCGTCCTCCGAGAAATCCGGAACATCCGTAAAAGTAATCAATCTATGAAACTGATCCTAGAGCTCTGCGGTTTTTCGAAAATACTTGACACTGTCATATATAAATTAATTGGGGGTTGTAACATAAACATGTACCTAGATAACCATCAGACCTCCAGAAGATCTGGAACATCCTTAAAAATGGTCAATCCACAAAACTGATCCTAGAGCTCCACGGTTTTTTCGAAAGAATTTGGAACTGTGTTATAAGAAAGAATTTGGGGTCATGATTTAATCATGAACCTGGATGGCCATGGTACCGTCGTCTGGAAGATCTGGAACATTCGAAAAATGGTCAATCCATAAAGCTAATCCGAGAGTTCAACGTTTTTTTTTTCGAAAACACGTGGAACTGTATTATAAGAAATATTTAGGGATTTGGGATTTTAAGAATTTTTCGAAACCATTTCGAACTGAGATATATGAATGAATTTAGGGACGTTACATAAACATGAACCCAGATGGCCATGGGACTTCCAAAAGATCCGGAACAACCATAAATAGGTAAATCTGTGAAAATGATCCTAGAGTTCTGCAGTTCATTTTTAAACACTTTGAACTGTGATACATGAAATAATTTTGGGTTGTGATCTAAAAATGGATCCAGATCGCCATGCGTCCTCTGAAAGATCCTGAACATCCTTGAAAGTGGTAAATCCATGAAACTGATCCTAGAGCTCAACAGTTTTTTTTTTTCAAAAATATTAGGAACTGTGATACAAGAATGAATTTAGGGTCGTGGCACAATTATGGCCCGGATGGCTATGGGCATCAGCCAATCAACGATCTTATTTATACGAAATTCTTCGCCATTTTTGTGTACAAATTCTAAAGCATCAGCTGAGGATTTCAAAATGCCTGAAGCTTAGCCAAAGATTTAAAAAAACACGGTCTAGTATCATTTACATGGAATTAGCACTGTTCTGGATGTTCCGGAACTCTCGGAGGATGTTCCCACAGTCATCCGGGTCCATGTTTCCAAATTCATTCTTATATCACAGATCCAAATGTTTTTGAAAAAACCGCGGAGCTCTAGGATCAGTTCCATGGATTGACCACTTATAAGAATTTTCCGGATCTTCTAGAGGACGGTCCCTTGGTCATCCGGGTTCATGTTTATGTCACTATCCTCAATTCTATCTTATATCACAGTTCCAAGTGTTTTTGAAAAAACCGCGGAGCTCTAAGATCGGTTTCATAGATTTAGTACTTTTACGGATGCTCCGAATCTACCGAATGACGGTTCCATAGCCATCCGGTCCATGTTTATGCCACGATCCCAAATTATTTCTTATATCACGTTCCACGTGTTTGCGAAAAAAACAAACTGCGGAGCTTTAGGATCAGTTTCGTGGATGGACCACTTTTACGGATGTTTCGGATCTTCCGGAGGACTGTTCCGTTGTCTCCTGGATCCATATGTAGGAATCAGGACTGTATTCTGGCTAATTATGAACATTTGTGCCCATTAATCTAAATAATAGCCCTTAAACCACTTGCAAAACCCATAAACACACCTTTAAAAAAAACGTGTAACGACTCTTTTCGCTTTTAAAAAAAGTAGACGACCCTATTTCTAATATTTTTATGATCAAAATAATCTACAGACCCTAGGAATTCTAGAGATATCATTTTTTTAAATCATCAAGAAATGGCTAAGTTATACCATTGCAAACTTGCCGTTACACGCTTTTTGGAGGCATCGTATTCGGAGTGTTAAAAACAAAAAACACACACTTAGAAAAATTAAGACTCTGACAATGACATATAAGAGCGTCAATTTTGACATAAAATTGAGTCATAATAGACGCAAAATTCAGCTCAATCAAACGTACTTTCGAACTTTTCAGTCTCGGAGCACTTAATTTTACATGACATGTTTGTTTATGTCTCATCCTTTATGTCAAAGATGGATTCCCTCATGTTTAAGAAGAGGTATTTCTAAGTATGCAGTTATGAAATTCAGAAATAAACTCAAATCCTATAATGTTCAGCAGTTTGTACACTAAATTATATTTTCAATTTCCCCTAATACAACATTAGTAAGCTATTAACCTTTTTCTCATCTTCATTTCCAGGTCGCTTCGATGGCAGTTGGTCCGGTGAGTAGTCTCATGATTCAATATTGCACAATCATATTTATCCAACCGATCCAATAAAAATACACTTTCGTCGCTTCGTTCCGGTTGCGTGTGTTCTCTAAAATCCGCCAGCCAGCAAATAACAAGGTCTCAACAATTATCGACCATTAGAAGTTCCCAGCCCCAGTCTGTGCCACAACAACGAGACGATCGTTCATTTATCTTGATCCGTCATCTATCTTTTCGCTAAACACCGCATTTTCCTTTCACTCTTGTTTCGAGAGCATCTTCCGAAGCGGTGGTTCGGCGCGAGAACAATGCGTCGAATAAAAAAAAAAACGAAAACGCGTCTTTCCTGGGTGCCGACTATGGTGCCATTTTGCACTATCACACACCGATCGGAGGAAGAAGAAAAAGTATCGTAAAAGGGGGTGCGAAACTTGCTAAAGTTTCGGTTTCGTAACTTGAGATTGGTCGCAAGCTCGGGAAATGCGATCAACAATATACCTACATCCACGCCGCCAGGTATATCTAAAGAAGCTGAACAAAACTGATTGAAAGTGAAACTGCGGTGCGGTCCGTGATAGAGGGCGCCTTGTAATGGAACTTGCGTGTTTTCATAGCGTAGGTGAGAATTGATCGACCTAAGTGCTGTATTGCGTGTTACGTAGCGCTGGTTGGGCCTCATTTGACACGACCTTTTGTTGTTCTGTGAAGTGATTTCATCACTTTTGACGAGAGATGATACAAGAGTCCTGGGATTGGAAAACTATGAAATGTAATAATCCGTTCGCAAGAAGCATGATGTCATAATGATGAGAGAATTGAGCAGTCATGTGCAGCTGAACTATCTGGCGATAAGTTAAAACATTGATTGCCTTGCCATACCTCTACCTCATTTGAATAATGCCACGTCGAAATAATAAGGTCATATTGATATTCGACTAATTGAAATTCTGTACATACTAGCAAATGTGAAATTTAATTATACACCTCAGCAATGCCTATGCACTGCTCTGTGCCGTTTGGAAAAATGATGAATTCACGACGGCACGGACGGCGCAGACGTGCAACTCACGGTAAATTGCCGTTTCGCATCCATATTCCATTACGGTTCTGTTTACCGTCAACTGTCAGAGGAGATGATGAATCAGCTGCGCACCTTGTAACCTAATTTTCGCGATGCTTTCCTTTTCTCGGCTTGGTTTTTCGATGAATGGGTTTGGTTTTTGCTCTGGGATTACTTTCATTTCAATGAATTACCTTGATATCTTGCCACTTTTTAGGTTATATGTGACATGCAGCGAGACACAATTTCACATTATTATTTTCACTATTTTCTGTACGAAATCTCCTTATGCAAAACCATAACAAACCATGACCATTTCTAGATAGAGCTGGAATTAGGGCGTAATAGCTTTTGTAAACAATGACTTCTCTCGTTGATTTCTAGCAACTCAAGGCACGCCCACATAAACCAACATATCCATCGGGTAGGGGAAGTCTTCCCCTATTCGATGGTAATGTTGATTTGCCAGGGAGAGTCATGCCTTTCGAGAAATCATCGAGAGAAGTCATTGTTTACAAAAGCTGTTACGCCCTAATTCCAGCTCTATCTAGATTTATATGAAATTTAGAACAGATGGAAGGAAAATGAGAACGCTGAAGATTGTTGTCAGATGTGTTTGCTGAAGGATCTTCACGTTACGTGCTACAACTCTTGAAGGTCCAACAGCTATCCAACTAGATGTACACACTTAGAAAAATTGATGTAAATTTAGGTGCTCTGAAACTGACATATACGGGCGTCAATTTCGACTTAAAATTGAGTCATAATAGACGTGAAATTCAGCTCAATCAAACGTACTTTCGAACTTTTCGGTCTCAGAGCACTTGTTTGACATGTTTGTTTACGTCTCATCCTTTATGTCAAAGATAGATTCCGTCACCTGTAAGATTAGGTACCAGTGTGTACTTAAATATGAGATCGCAGGTATGAAAGGAGCACTTGGTCTAACATAAAAGGTTAAGTCGAATCGATTTGCGATCTTCCACAAAGTTGTTCTGCATTACCAAGCTAAGTCTTAAGTTTGGTCAAAATTAAGCAATTTTTGAATTTTTGACAAGTAACCGATTAGGTTTATTCCGTGCGGACGTTGATAATGTCGGAGAAGAATTTCCCGACGATTAGAACGTGATCTATTTGGTTTTCTGTGTGTTGGTCAGGTGATCTCTAGGTGGCTTTGTGGATATCCTTGCGGTCGAAAAAGGTACTTCGGATTACCATACCACGGGAGGCTGCAAAGTTCACGCATCGTTGGCCGTTGTCGTTCGATACGGCATGCAGATTGATTGGCCCGATTGCCAGAGGCGTAACTAGCATGTTGGGCTGGGAGGGGGGAGGGCATGTCCCCAGCTGACAAGACATAAACCATCGGTAGTATAGGGAGGGAGATTACTTTATTCTACACACTTAAAAATAACTAATTTTACACGTGACGGAATCTGTCTTTGACATAAAAGATGAGACGTAAACAAACATGTCGTGTAAAATTAAGTGCTCCGAGACTGAAAAGTTCGCTGATCGACGAAAAGTACGTTTGATTGAGCTATATTTCCCGTCTGTTATGACTCAAATTTATGTCAAAATTGACGCTCGTATATGTCACTCTCAGAGCACCTAAATTTACATGATTTTTTCTAAGTGTGTATATACTTGTACTATTCACATAAAGTTCATTGATTTAAACGATTTCGAACATGTTATAAAAATGTAACTATATTCAAGTTGTTTTGAGGTTTCCGGCTTCAATAAAATTTACAGATATTTAGTTGAAGATGCTTATTTCAAATAACAGACTGAAGTGGTAATTTTTATACGATAGATGAGGAGATGAAAGTGTGTGTGAAAATTGCATATAGAGAGTAGAAACCGAGCTAGAAAACTTTTTAAGGAAGGTACAAATCAGTTTTATCATCTCTCTTTACCAAACTACCCCTTTGGAAAGGGATGGTGAGGGGTGCCCCATCTCCCCCCCGCCACCACTGGCAAAAAGAGATGATCGCCGACCCGCTCATGTAACAACGAAAAAAAAAATTACAGATAGGGTGGATTACGGCTTCGGCACTATGCGACTATTTTCGGCAGTGCTAGCTAAATGTCCTTAAAACGTCAAATATATCAAACAGGCGTCAGGTTTTAGAAAACTATCCTATTATTTGAAGTTTTTACTTCCATGTAATTGTTACCTTTCATTAAAACAATAAAATCTAATGGATTTATCAACAAAATAAAACTATGCCTATGAAATGCTTGGCATTCTTGGGTTGCCGAATAAAACAACAAGAGAAACGCATAATTATACTTACAATTTTGAAACGGACTTTTCTCTTCTTGAATACCGGTTTATCACTGTTTTTGAATATGGATCACTTAACTAACTTAACAAGCTTCTGAATAAGCACAAAGGTATACAAATTTATCCACTAATCAATTTAAAAACCACAAATTAAAATTTTAATTTTTTTCCGGTTCATCTTTCTTCGGCATTCACTTTTCTTTGGTTATCATGGATGCCAGAAAAGCGGAATGGGTGTTGGCATTGAAACTTTCCGATTTTCCAATTTATATCCAATATCAATTGATGCTTGTGAATTAAAGGGTTAAGCATGTAAGCATATCCTAGTATGACAAAATGAATCTTTAAATGCTTAATTCTCTAAGTTTTATGTCACATGAACGTTTAATCTGTAAAAAATATTAATATATGAGTCTATTTATTTATCAACTAATATGGCAACAATGCTTTTGTTCTGTACGCAAAATACAGTCCACAAATGTATGTGTGATGGCATTATCAGCTTATTCATAAAGGGCCTAGCTAGATCACCATTCACGCTAAGGTGCACATACCTAATAATCGGTAAAAAACTACCGGTATTTGTGGAAAGTGCACATATCTAGATTATTTATAATCATCGATTACCCAACATTAAGTAAAAACTGCCTAAATTTTAAGTTAAAAAGAGCCTATTCTTATCAAGAAGCAACGTTTTTATCGGTAAAAATATACCGATAATTTTAGGTTGAACCAAAAACCCGATTTTAGGTAATCTGAACTTAGAGTGCGTACCAGATTGAATCAATGATTCGAGCAGGGCTCGGCAATATTTGTTTATTATTCTATGCATTCTCACACCATGAGCATGACGTCACATGTGATGTTATAGGCTTTGAACTCGTTGGGATAAAAGAGACAATGAATTTATCGTTGCCCGACCAACAATATATCACATTGGCACGTGCAGCGTAAGCGTGATAAACGTCAACCGAGTGCCTCCTTTTGTCTCAAGTGTTGTTGTTTTTCGGAAAGTGTGCAGTGTTTTGGCGAATACGTGTGAATTTGTGGTCAGTTGATGCCATGTCGGTGGAAAATCCGTCCCCGTTGGATCTGTCGATCCACAAGCCGGAAGATTGCAACGGTAGGTGATCACCAATGGACAGATTGTACCAGGTCAGCAAGATCATGGTTGGGCTTGCTGCTTTGTTTTCATCGTCATCTGAATGCTGCTTTGATGTCGTCTGCTGCGGGTCTTCCGGGTAAGTATTGGCAAATCGTTCGTCGATTACCGGATTCATTTTCTTATGTAAACCTTTATTAAATCGCTCTATTTTTATTTTAGTGGCTGCTGACTCCGTTGCTGGTGTGCGCATGTCAGACCCAGCAAAGTTTTTACCGGCTGCAGAGCAGACATCAAATGACGATGACAACAAAGCATCAAACAGATGTGTTATTTAGATCACGATCTTGCAGGGAAGTTTCACGGGAATTAATTCATATAAATCAGGTAAAGTTACAGGTTTTCAAATAGTTTTTTGCTCTGAAGTCAAGCTACAATCACTCAAAAAGTCATGAGGGAAGGAGATGTTTGAATTGTTTCATGGGAAGCAAGGTGTCTAAGACATACACCCTTCCCCCGTTTACGCGGTGGGTGGTAACGCCCACCCAACGCTATTCTTC